ATCTGGGGGAACGTTTGTTCACCAGAGCACCCCAAGGGATGACAAGGTCGAATGGTTATAAACTCCTGCAAGACCATTTCAGGCTGGACATAAGGAATAATTTCTTTACTGTCCGAGCCCCCAAGGTCTGGAACAGCCTGCCATCGGAGGTGGCTCAAACACCTACATTGAACACCTTCAAGAGCAAATTGGATGCTTATCTTGCTGGGATCCTATGACCCCAGCTGACTTTCCTGCCCTTCGGGTGGGGGGCTGGACTCAATCTGCCGATGACCCTTCCAGCCCTAATGTCTATGAAGGTAATAGGAAGGTAACTGCCCCTGCCAGTTGCAGGCCTGCTGGTCACTAACTAGTCCAATTGCAGAGAGGGAAATCCTGCTGCAATGGTCACACGTGTATGGCTCGTTGCTGCTAGATGAGGGTGTATCTTTGCTCCTCCTCCTCTTCTCCTTGATGCTAGCTCTGCCCTGTCATTCAAAGAGGGCTATTGCCTTTTTGGTTTGAAGCCCCCAGGCATCGTGATCTGCAGCCTGTGTTTTCCAGTTTGTGGTCAGCACCACAGGCAGGAAAGGACCTCTTCAGGGTGTTCTTGAAATGCTTGTGTGGGGCCCCTCTGTCACATTTCCCAGTTGTCAGTTCCCTGTACAGCACCGCCTTTGGTAGACAGTTATTGTCCATCTGGGCCACGTGGCCTGCCCACCACAACCAAGTTTGCAGGGGAACAGCCTGGTTGCTGGTGGCATTGGCTTTGTAGCACTTCTGTGTCACGAACGCCTTATGCCCCTGGGGGCTAGGGGGGCATGGTGAGCTCCCACAGGCAATGGTGTTGGCAGCAGCACTGTGGCGGAGGCAAGTGGGGAGCCACTGCAGGCAGCCACGGCACTGTCGTTGGCTGTGGGGAGGGGGTGGCAGTCGGCAACCACCCACAGACACTGCCGGCAGTGTCAGTGGTGATCATGGACTGTCGGCAGATACTCCCAGCGGTGTCAGGGGCGAAGCAGGTGGATGGCAAGGGGAAACCGTCTGCAGGCCAATACTGTTGGCGGAGCCTTTTCACAGGGGTGCACCGCCAATCTCAGTTAGGGCACTTGCACCCCCTACATGTCACCAATGCTTTACGGTGGCGACCTCAGCCTGCCAGCGGAGCCCAAGACCGGTGTGGAGGCACTCGAGCAGGGGCAAGTGGGGGCGATCCAAGCCAGGGGAAACGTGTTGCACGTTGTCTCGCACCTTCGAGACAACAAGGCAGGGCGTGTTTCATCCAGCGAAGCACAACTGCTGCATTTCACTTAGCAACTACCCCGGGCGGGGGGGAAGGGACCGCGTTTCCCGCTTTACAGACTAGCAGCGGAGGGCTCCCCGCCTGCGCGCGGGAGAGGCCGCCGGCCCCGCTCGCCTGCCTGCCCCGGCCCGTTTAAGAGGGCGGTGCGGCTCCACGTGCTCCGCCTGAGTGACGGCTCAGTATAAACAGCGCGGGAGGCAGCCGGGCTTGACCGGCAATAACCTCTCAGCGAGGCAATAAAGGGAGCCGGGGTCCAGCGCGGAGCGGCGCTGGAAGCGGCAGCGGTAGCAGTAGCAGACGTCGTGGTGGTCGGGGCACGCGGGGCCTGCGCTGGGCAGCGGGGAGCCCGCCGGCACGGGGCGCGCAGGTAGGGCTGAGCCCGCCGGGCGGCAGAGCTGCCCCCTCTCGCCCCGCTCCGACCCTCCTTGCCCCCTTCCCGGGGGGAATAGTGTCTCCTCTCTTAAACCCCCCCCAAACAAAGCAGGAGGGAGGCTTGCTGCTGCGGGGTGCCCGGCGAGGTGTGTGGCGGGTGCTGCCCCGCGAGGCGCCTGCAGCCGGGGCTGTTGCGCGGGGCGGCGGCGCTGCCCGAGAGTAACCCCGGCCGCGAGCGGCGCTTCCGCGGGAAACAACAGCGAGCCCGAGGAGCGGTGTTTGTGACTGGGGAGTGGAAGAAAGATGGGGTTTGAGTAGCTGGAGGTCCTGTCCTCGTTTCCCTTCCCCTTGCTGCCGAGTGGGCAGCAGTCCCCACGAGGATGTTTTCACAGAATAAAGGAAACTTGGGGGGAAGGGGAAGAAAAGTTTTTTGTGTTTGTTTATCCTCCCCCCCCTTCTATTTTCTCTCTCTATGAATTTTTCACCTCATTGTATCCATGGGCAAGACAGACTTCGCTTTCCCTGTGTTTCTTCCTTCTTTGAGGAATGCCAACACCTAATGGGCCGGGGTCTGGTCTCCCACTTGCGCCATGTAAATCCATTAAAATAAATGGCGCGGCTCCAGGTCCACAGGCACGTAGGATTATGATCCTTCGCGTCCTTGCTGTGGGTTTAACACCGCAGTATATCTTCTGTTTTTACATTGCAGCCTATTATAGAGCTGCCTCGCAACCTGTCATTAGCCTATTACGAGTGCTCCTGTTTTATTTTGGCAGTGTCATGTCTCAGATACCTAAAAATATTGAAGGGGGCAAAAAGCAAAGGGATACAGGAGTGCATCCTAAACTCTAATATTCGTTCCTCCACAAAACAAAAAATATCTTTTAAAGTTTTTACGCAGATTTCCATCTTCCTTTATTTTTAGTCCTATAAACGAACTTTCCTAAACTTTGTGTTTAGTTTCTTTTAAGTATCTTAGACCGAGAATAGTTTTCCCTGCAAAGAACCACCCTCCTAGACGTTTGTATATAGTTTATTTTGGGTGGACCTTCAGTTGGTGTGAATCGGTATCTGTAACTGCTGAAGGCGGGACTGAAGCCTCTGCTTATGCACTTTGCTGCATTGGGCTGATATGGGAGCTGAGCTTACTCAAACATCTGGCCATGTTAACAAATTCAAATACTGAAAAAATCATAACTGACTGACCCCTGTACAAATTCAATTTTTGAATGGGGGCAGTGGGGATAAAAAAGGAGAAATTGAATCCAAATATTGCAAGTGCTTGACTCTTACTACCTATTTTGCCTTTTTAAATTAAATGCAACCAGTGGTATATGATGAGATCCCGCAAGGATTATTATTGCCTACTGTTAGGGACTTTGTCTACCACATTATTGGAATGACATGTAACGGCAACTACACAAACTCTGCCTGCTTTGCTCCTGACTATAAAGAGCCAAGCCCTGGTGTCTTTACTTGCACCAAGTGACACTTTATCCCATAAACAGTCCTGCTTCAATGGAGCTCTGTGGGGAAGGAAATCTAGCTTTTGTTTTTTGCGTTTTAGACCAAAGTTTTGTTTGCTCTGCAGCAGTTTTAATGGTGAGGGTGTTTGCTGGTAGTAGGGCCACTTTTGGTTCTAGACACTTGGATTTGGAATTGGTTTTGGCTAATTTGGGCAAAGTGGCCCCCATAAGTGGCCCTACTACCAGCAAACATCCTCCACCCACACCTGGGGCTTCAGATGTTTCCAAAACCTTTGGTGGGCATCAGTTTGGATGCCCCCAAGTTTTGCTCGCCCTTAGCCCTAAGAGCAAGGGAGGAGACTGCCATTTCCATAAACTGGGCTGAAAGCTGTTGTACCTCCTGAACCATGCCAGAAGAGCAGTTCAGGAAAACTGCCTTCTTGGACACAGATGCATGGTATTCTCCCTGCCAGGTTAAGAAGGCGCTATGTGTGTCCCAGGCCTTCAGGTTATTTAACATTGGAGCAGCTAACTAACAGATGCTGTGTATTCCCTGCCACTTGGAGTCTTTACAATGAGACTATTTGCCTATCTCTGAAAGGTGTGCTTGGGTTCAGGCAGCAATTTTTTGGGTGTGAAGCAGATCTCTTGGTGTAATCTCTTGGTGGGACACAGGAGATCATTCTGGGCATGCCTCTACTTACTACCTACACGCTGCGTTATGGAGTGCTGTAGTAAGCGTGTTGTACCCCCTCAGCATTTTCTGAGCCCCCAAATGATGCGAGGAATCAGTGCTGGACATACTCCTGTTAGCATGTCTGTGACAGAGAACAAACTGGTGCTTGCCCTGTGTTCTAAGATGGATCCAGTTCTATTTGTTTCCATATCTGGTGGCCATAGATCCTACAGAGCTTAAGAATTAAATGTTTCTTTTTTTTATCTGTGCTGTTTGTGTCCTACATATGAAATTAACACCCTGAGAGATCTTTGCATTTACAGAAAGTCAGGGTAGCCCCATTTGTACCCTGCAAAGTTTTCAGATGGGACTTGATGTTAAATAATGAAATATTAAATAATGACTTCTTCTGTTTAGAAACTCTTTAGCTACCTGATCAAATTGGGTGTCTTGGAAAAAAGTATCTAAACGCTTGTTTGCACTACCACAGAAACCACTGCTAAGGATGAGTTTCTAGTGGCGCAAATCATTGCCTCAGTGCTACTGTCCTGATCCTCATTTATATGAGGGCCTCAATAGAAACAGATCTCACCTTGTATGTTTTCCAAGTTATTTCACCTTTCCAATAGTTCTTTAATTGAACTTTGCCTTGCTTAACCTATCCTGCTCCCTCAACCAAGAAGCAGATCCTAGGTGCATGTGCATGAGACAAAACTCCACAAAGACCCAACAGCCCATTCTGCAGTTTCAACTTGGCAAAATTCCCATTGATGCTTTTGTAGGAGGGTTTACAGACTAAGAACTAATGCCCAGGCTTTGTTCTCATTTACCTCAGTGCAAATCTGAAGAAGCTGTGTTGATTTCAAAGGTATTTTAGATTGACTGAGAATAATCTAATCATGAGTGCAAGGTTTGATCTTGAGTGAATTGTATGCAACAGAAGTGATTTCAATGGTGCATCTCCCCTCTGCTACGTGTGTGATGCCGCAGACATCAGTGAGCGCATCTGGCTGTGACTGGGCAAGATTTTTGTTCTAGGGAGGGATCAGAAAAGGTCTAGTTTTATCTCTTCTCATTGTGTTGTGATAGGCTCAGACCCTAGGTAACTTTGCTCACGCTGTAAAGAATGTCAAATGACTGCATGAGACTGAAGTGTTGAACAGGGTGTGAATCTCGCTTGGGAAGAAGAAAGGTGCCTGTAGGGTGTGTGTTGGCTCGCATGCCAGGGTATCGGGAACATTGTTTTGGAACTCTGATGTGAGTGGCGGCAGAATCCAGCCTGGGTGTTTTACTTTAATGCCAAATTCCCTTTCTTATCTTGGTCTAACTGGGGAAGGCGTGTGCGTGTGTGTGTGTGTGGGGGGGGTGTTCTGATTTTCCCTGGGTATAAATGTATAAATTGCTAGAATTCTGTCAATGTCAAAAGAATGCTGCCAATTTACATCTGCTGAGAATTTGGCTCTGGAGCATGTATTTTGTGTGTTAGGTACCTAACATTAACACGTTTTGTAATGCTGAGTGTTATAACATGCATTACAAGTATACTCAGGAGATTCTTAGAGAGACTGCCAAAATAGGAGAGATGAGGCACAACAGTTCACGTAAAAATCACGTATCTGACTTGAGCCATGTTTCTCAACCTCAATACAATTTTCTTCACTGCACAGTAAGTCCTATGGAAATGTTAAGTGGTGAAAGAATATTAGTGTTGCTAGGTTTAGGGTATTGATTGGAGTATAGATTAAACATAGATTTTTCTTTTAATAAAAAGGAAAAGGCTAAAATACAGCTTTTTTTGAACATTTGTCATTGGATAAAAACATTCTTGCCTTAAGGGCTGAGGGAGACAGGGTAGGATGGAAAACTGGTGATGCAGCTCTTCTGACGGAACAGGCTAACATCGTGGAAAAATAAAGAACACCTCAGAACATTATTCTCTGGTATATTTGGGTAAATGCTTGATCAAAGGATGTATTAAGAATGGACATTACAGTCCACAGTTTAAGTAGCTCAAATGTGGATGTGTGTGCTGACTCTTTATGCCCTTCAGTTATTTCTGTATTTGAGCTGCTCAGAATCTTAGCTCAGTCCAATAAAAGATCTTTTTTTGGATTCTTTAATAGGGAACCGTTGGTATTAGGCAGGAAAACAGAAGACTGGTTCTAAGACTGTGGTAGTCTGGCTACATAGAAACGTATATTCTTTGGGAATGAAAAAAGCCAGGGTCCCTAGCCAGAGTTCAGAGATCAGCATGAAAGAGATGTGGGCTTCTTCCCTCCTTTTTTGCATGTGCCAGAGATTACAGGAGAGTGGGTGCTGTAAGAAAGTACATGCTACCATCTGATGCCAGCCTGATTCATGAGAAATGATCCTGGGCAGATGCTTCTAGTGAACGGTGGCCCAAAGTGCAGGAAGGGAGGAAGACATCACCTTTTAAAGTACTTATTAGAAATCTTGGTGGTGGAATTGGCTGAGACTCTTAGGTGCCATAATCCATTGAATTTCAGTAACAGAGGTGTTCTGCCTAGGAAGACGGGCATGGGGCAGATGCTCAGGAGATCTCAATTCTGTTCTCAGCTCTGTGCCAGTTTTACCAATGTTCTAATTCTTACCGTGTCCAAAGGCTTTGTTGCATGTTAATTTGAAGTGGCTCCTGGAGTATTTAACTCCTGGGTTATTCACATATTAACATGTGAATTTAGTTTTAAGCACCCTTTAAGTGGCTTAAAGTTGCACCACTCTAGGGCATGTTTATCTGTGATGTTACCCAGCTTGTGTTACATTAATGTGTGGCCACTCTAAGTTGCATGTTAGTGTAAACCCCACCCCCTGGCATTGCCTGCCCCCAGCGGG